CCCCGGGCTACAGCTGCATTAGCACAGCACCGCTTCTGTTAATGAGACACTTCATCACCCTACAACGCCCTTGAGATACATCACCCCTTAGCCTTCCCTCATCCATCCATCTCACTCTTCTTTATTCACACAGCAGCTGTCCTCACTCTGCTCCGTCCTCACCACCACCTCCATTCAACCCCCTTCATCACGCCCCTTTATTCGAACGTTCGTTTTCTGCTTTTTCTCTTCTTTAGCACTTCTCACAGCAAAGGCATTTTTTGCCTGGGCACATTTTAAACATCGTTTGATCCCAGCTGTATCCATTGTAAACTCATGCCCCATTTTGCCCGAACAAGTTCGCCTGGGATAATAAAATTACACCTCGAAGGACACGTTTGGGCCAACTGCAACATCACATACCGTGTACGCAGGGCATGCCAGGCAGCATCTATGTCTGCATACAGATTCTTCTCGGAGGGCTTGCCGGTGCTGACGCCATAGCCCGAGTAATCATAAGAGAAGATGTTGCAGTTGATGCGAGTGCCGAGGCCAATGTAGAAACTGCTCATCTGGCCGAGGTCAACTGCATTGCCGTGGGAGAAAAGCACCGTAAACCTGCAGGGATGATTCAGACAAAGGGTTAGTAACGAGCTAACAGACACAGACAGGTGTACGCTTGTCGGTTTTCCTATTTCCTTTAAAATAAATAAATAAAAATCACTATCAGCACTGGAGCCAAAGATCCAGCCTCTGCTGTGCTCTAATCAGAAATATATGATATACAGAGAACTACATTGTGATTACATGAGAAATATTCTTGTTTAGCGTTGCCAACAATAGCATAGCTAAACACAGAACTTTTATTAAGGCTGAAAAACAACTGTGCACAGAAATTAATCAAATCACAAGTAACCTGCTGTTTAAATCAAAAAGGTACTTGATTCTATAAAACTGTTGCAGGTTGAAGGATTATTTACCACGAAGGACTCTTGCTTCCAGACATTTAGTATAACCTGAGAAGCAGGGTATCCACTGTGAACGCTGGGTATCTAGCCCTTGGCTGTTATTCATGAATGCGTGTTGTGCTCTCTGGAGTAACCTGATACTTTTTCTACACACCGACTGTTTTGAAATTCTCCCTCAGTGGTTTTGTTTATGAGCTCTTGCAGCCCGTGGCTTCGCTCTTGGCCTTTCCACTTAGAAAGCAGCAAAACAATGACTCTGCCATATCACGTCAGGCCTGGGATCATTCTTTGTAATACTAGAGACACATTAATGCAAGATAAATGGACTGTAACACAAGCCTGTCCATTTCTTTTTAATTCATTTGGTAAATTAATCAGTAGCAGTTGAGAGTTAACTTCTTTTACATCTCATAAAATACTGTCAAACCTTCTAAGATGAAGAAGGTTATTTCCTCTTATAAAGCCATTTACCAACAACGGCCAATAAAGTCAATCACGCCACATAGCTGCAAATGTTTTGTCTCTGACTGGAAACTTATGTTGTCAGGGAGTGTGCAAATCTTTTTACTGTGATCAGTATCACGAACAACAGTAAACTCAACTTTAAGGCTCTACAAACAAGCAGAGAAAATAATGAGAAAGAATAAAGACAACAGAATAAAGTCTGACGGGTGTGCCATGATCTACAGAAAAAACCAGGAAGAGAAAATCTTTGCGTCAGCTGAGTCAACAAGAAAAGAAAAGAAAGCAAACCTGGGCGTGAAGAAGACTGTTGAGGAAGAAGACTGTTTAAATGCTTCAGAGCGAGTGTGACATACCTGTCAGTCACAGCTGACAGCTAATTCCATTTACCTGGAACTAGGAGCGCAGCGAATGTACATGCAGCCGACTCGGTTCCCTCGGCTGGATCGAGCAAGAAAGACCTCCGTAGTGTCCAGCTCTCTTTGAGAGTACTGAAACTCCGCTCGGTCCGTCAGGTGAAGCTTCCATCCCCCCTCTACGGCCCCGGTCCCCCCGCTTCCAGCAACCGA